CTAAATTTCAGCATATTCAGTACAAATTTTATATCGTGTTCTTACACATTTTATAGATATTTTATAAGAAAAATTGATACAAGGGAAATAAAATGTCTTGAATATATATATTAACATTTTTATCTTTTAATAACTTTAAAATTTCAATTTCTAATATCTGGATCCTGCTATTTATTCTTATTCTTTTATTTTATACCGTTAATTACAGGTGACCGACGTGGCGCTTAACACGTTAAGGTTTAAAATATTTCGATATGTAGAAACAGCATAAAATTTCGTAGAAATTTTGACCCCATTTTAGTTTGTCGTCGAAAACGTCATTTCATAGTGAGACGAATTTTCCATCACTCTGTTTCCACGTCGATTGTATATCCGTCATTCTCATTGTAAATAAACTCTGACATAACTTTCATGCAAAATTTTTGAGAAATCGAAAATGTTTTAATTTCTCATATGCAGTTTTGTTTGAATGTTTAATGCATTCTTGATTTATTATATGCTCTTCGTTCAATATTAAACTTTTATATTTTTGACAATTTATCAGTGATCATTCAAAGAATTAAAAAAATTAAAAAAATATATATCCCGGGACTTTTAAGCAGCAGCGTATAAACAGGTAAGTGTAAAAATTTTACAACTTGTATAAAATAAAAGTATAAGAAAACTCTATTAGTTAAAATTCCATTTATAAAATTCCTTTTAAAATTCAATTTATACGCTAGGTAAAAAGAAAAGCAGATTGGATTCATTTTTTGAAAGTTGTTTATATCACTCTATCTTAAAAATGTAATATATAGTATAAAATATAAATTATAAAAAGAAATGAAATGTAAAATATCGCTTGAAACAACTGTTTTGAAATGGAAATATTCTACAAATAGAATCGTTTTGTAATTAATTCAGTTGATACTGCGATTTGAACAGAGTTATTTTAACAGCTTGCGGTTAGATATTGCTCTGTGGTATCAATGATTCGGTAAAAAAATCACTCACTCGCGATGTACGTATAATGGAAGAGAAATTGATTATTTCTCACAAAGCACGTAAGATCCTTGTCAGAGTTGTTTACATGAAAGGGAAAAAACCAATCGATGGATAAACGATAGAAAGATAATATGCTTGTTCTAAATAACTCCAATAGAAAAGTTACGTGCAAAGAGTGTACCTCGGTATCGTGCATTACGGTGCTTATGATAAACTTTTCAATCTGTCATCAACTGAAATTTCATGAAAAATTTAAGGATTTAATCGTGGAAAGCACGTGTCGATTAAGCGCGATAAATCTGCGTGTGATCGCCGTTCTAGATAGAAACGTTTATTTATAGAAGAACTAATTTTAATCAATATCACCGATTAACCTTATGGTAACCCTATGAAAACATGGGGTTAGTTACACTTAAACATCGAAGGGCGAAAAATCTTTTTTTTTTTTTTTTTTTTTTTTTTTTTTTTTTTTTTTTTTTTTTTT